CTTTTCACCGCCCTCGGGGAGGGGGGAAGGGTCAGTACCACTCACTTTGGGAAATACTGGAGTAGATGTATGTTCTGATATCCCTGTTGCTCATAGTGGTTGCTCTAGTGAAGTCCCTAATTTATTTTGTCTGGTTAGCATCCCCAATGCAGCTTGATATGAGTACATGGGAGGGTAATGGAAACATTACCTGTTGGAAGAATGATCCATTGAGCACGTTCACTCCATTCCCTGATTCTAAGGATTTGTGATGCCATTTCTCTGTACTCTGGAAATAATGTGTGCCTGATACATTGATTCTTTTCAAAGACTGGCACCATCTCCCATTATCAGGACAGCCACTAACATAAATGATGAGATTAGCAGTGGCATCTATATTTAATTATGTGAGGAGTTACAATAAACTTGATGTATGTTAAACACCCTGATACATGAACCCAAGGAATTAAGATCAGTGATATACCTGGAACACACATAACACTTGAATTTGTGTGTAATACACATTGACAAACATACCAAAGTTGCAGCTTGGAAGTAGGTGAAGTTACCATAATAGTCAAAGACAAACAGACAAGAAAATGCCTAGATGTAACAATCCAGTTTATATACAATACCACAGAACAGAACCAAGGGGCATTAAATACTGTTCCACTTCTTACAAAATTACTACTGGGAGGAGTCTAAACTATCAACACGAGGCCTAAATAATCCTGTAACTCACCTTAACCCTCCTTATTTAACCCTTTGAGGGTTTCGGCCGTACTAGTACGGCTTACGACCCAGGGTTTTTGATGTACTAGTACGCCTAAATTCTAGCGCCCTCAAATCTAGTGGGAGAAAGCTGGTAGGCATACATATGAAAGAATGGGTCTATGTGGTCAGTGTGTGCAGTATAAAAAAAATCCTGCAGAACACAGTGCATAATGAGGAAAAAAAACTTTGACCGTGTTTTTGGATTAAAACAGCAACTTTGCACTGTATTTTCGTATGGTATTTATTGTTGTATTCTAGTTTTCTTGGTCTCATTTTATAGAATGGAAGACATATTACAGAAATTGAGATGATTTTGACTGGTTTTACAATGAAAAGTACCTTGAAATTGAGCTCAAAGTAGCAGAAATGTTCGATTTTTACCAAAGTTCAAAAGTAAACAAATCATGCCAGGCATCCAATACACGTCAACTGGTGAGTCTAATATTCTTTCACAAGTGCGCTGATATTATTTATACCATTTCTACACTAATCCAGTAGTCTACATAACAGTAAATCTTCTACTTTTTGTAAGAATAAAAATTGAAAGTGGAAAGCCAAAGAAATATAAGAGGGGCCTGGGGATGTGACTAACGAACAGAGGAAATGTTATTTTAGTGCCAGGAATGTCTTTCTTGTTTATTCTGGACCCTATTTGGAAATTGGCATATTTTGAAATTTGTGTGAAATTGGCAAAATTGCTAAATTCTGACCACTGTATTGGATAGTTGAAATCAGTAAATGGGTGGTTTCTTGTACTCATTCAATAGAAAAAATGGAGTTCTAGAGAAATAGTTATGATTTTTGTCGACTAGTACACTGGAATTGGCTGAAAATAGGGCTCAAAGTGGGCAAAATCGCCGATGCGTAAACATCGTCGAGACCGCTAACTTCGCGAGACCATAATTCCGTAAGTTTTCCATCAAATTTCATACTTTTGGTGTCATTATGATCGGGGAAAGATTCTCTATCTTTTCATAAGAAATTTTTTTTTTTTTTTTTTTAAATTTGGCTGACCCTGAGAACAAGTGTCGGAGAGGGCCTGTCGACCCTCAAAGGGTTAATTCTTCTTCTCCTCCTGCTCTTTCTGTCTTGCTGTGATGAGACATATATGCATTAATTCGGGTGCTAGTTCAGTTGACTTGATAAAGCTCATCTCAAGAAAAAATATTGCTTACAAAAGAGGTTTAGCTCAAAAGTAGCGTTTTAATGTTGAGGGACCATGGATGCCCATTTTGGAATACATACACTGCACCTATTCGTAATTATTTCTCAACTCTAATAACCCCAGGAAATCTATGCTACAGTTAAGTTCAAGGTCACTACCACTGTAATGATCATTACCAATGTGGGCAGTGCACAGGTGTAAGCAATCTAGTACAAACCACTTTTCAGCTGTTAACCATCTCTGCTATGTGGTTGCTCCTTCACCTCTTTCTTAAATCACTCCTTGGCCTAGATTGGCTAGGCCACTAACACCTTTATAGCTGTCTTAAGAACTCATTGCAGTTCCTGCTACCATTCACATTTTCTGAAGGATAGACAGTGAACTAGCCTGGCTCACTTAACTTACACTTGCCATGTTTTCTGCCCAGCCTGTTTGTCAACATCCTTCGAGTTAATTCTCCTACTGTATATGAGCCATGTTGTGATGATTAGCTCTGGCCACTCATGTGTGCGCTTAGTTATAAATGTGTAGAATACCAGAATAACAGGGCACCTTGTGGGCCCTGGTATCCAAGTGTACTGACAAAATATAAAGAGGCCCTTTATGGTCCTTATTATGTCAGATTCCTGGAAACTTTCGAGATTTTTATGATAGATAAATACGTATACAACTGAAAACAGAGAAAACTATACTGCTGCTGTTCGAGTACAGTAACAGTAATGCTGTCTACAGTTTGCAGCTGTTAAGATACCTGGTTAAGTAGTAGTACTTGCACTACTTACTCCACTGTGGTTATGTTAAGTGGCCTTTAGGTCAGCTGCTTATCATTTGGCTGACTTAGAAATCATCCAGCTGGAATGTAAATAAAGCCAATTGGGTATGTGGCTCATATACCTCATAAAAAGATAACAGAATTCAGTGTGGACACTTCTTATGATTACAGTGAGGAGGTTGAAAAGTACCTGGTACAGTTAGGCTGTATGAACATCCCAGAGGGATGGAGTGTCTGCATTAGTAGTGGGCTGTATGAGCATCCCAGGGGGATGAAGTGTCTGCATTAATAGTGGGCTGTATGAGCATCCTAAAGAAATGAGGTTTCCACACTAATGATAAACTACAGGAGCATCCCAGGAGGATGGGGGAGAGGAGGGGGTGTCTGCACTAGTGATAGGCTTTAGGAGATGAATGGGTGGGAAGTAACTGCAACACTAGTAAAATAGGAGAGCTCTGTTATGTATTTCTCCATTTTGTTTTGTCTCTTATAATAGAGATGGAGTGTTTAATGTTACATATTTTAGCAATATAAGTATTATTATTCAATGAACTAGTAACCCCTTCTCCTGTATACATTACTAAAGTTAAAAAGAGAAACCTTTTTTTTTTCTTTTGAACCACCCTGCGTCGGTGGGATATGGATAGTTTGTTGAAAGAAAGAAAGAAAGTAGTAGTATTATTGTTATGGCAGTGTTTTACTACTAGTTTACAGACTTACTTCATCCATACTCATATCATCCAAGTCTTCTCCTAGGGTAGCCTCAGCTCTAGCTTGAGGATGAGTAAGAAGCACAGCTGATGGCAGAGCCATGGCCCCCTGAGCCTGACCAACATGAGATTCCTCCCCTCTAAGACGTGCCAGCCGCGTCTCTAGCTCATCTTCAGGCTTAGGGACAGATGCTTCTAATGACACTTCCTCCATCACCTGAAAAAAAACTTTGATCTTAGTTCTGTTTAATAAAGAGGAAACAAAAGAGAAAGTTAAAACAGCAGATGTATCATGGAAAACAAATAAGTAATAAATGCTAAACTTTTCATGGACTGTAAAATGACTTGCAGAAAATCTGCAATAATCAACAGTTTAATTCAAATTCAAATTCAAAGTTTATTCTCTATAAGGATTACAATGCTGAGTTTACAGAATTTGGTTATTGTGTGGTTTACACGTAGTAAAACAATAATTACAGAGTGTACCACTAGAACACCTAGCATGGCTAGGCATTTCGGGCAGACTTAGTTTAATTCTTAATTTTAAAATATTACAAATTATGAGGTAAGTTGGTATTATGGCTAAGTGACTAAATACTAGTTTGTGAGTTTAGCAATGTGAATGCTTTTGTTTTGGCATAGTACATAGTTTCAGTATTGGAGTATCACAGGCCAACTTATGACTAGTTTGGATTCATTATTTTAAGACTGAGATTAATATTTCTGTTTATGGTCAAATGGGTGAGTGAGTGTAAGTGTGAACCACCAGGTGGTATTCGTGTTGTTAGTTGACGGGGTGTATCAGGGAGATAAGATGTTTTCTAATGGTAGTTTTGAAGGTGATGAATGTGTCTGCAGTTCTAGAGTTTTCAGGTAGAGTGTTCCAGATTTTAGGGCCTTTGACATACATTGAATTTTTGTAAAGGTTTAGTCGGACACGGGGAATGTCATAGAGATGTTTGTGTCTGGTGTTATGCCTGTGGATTCTGTCACAACTATCAAGAAAGCATTTTAGGTCAAGGTTAATATTGGAATTTAAGGTCCTGTAGATGTAGATTGCACAGTAGTAAGTGTGGATGTACTGAACAGGGAGTAAGTTTAGATCTATGAAGAGTGGGGGGGGGGGGTGTTGCCAGGGATGGGATTTAGTGATTATTCTTACTGCGGTTTTTGTTGGGTTATTATTGGCTTTAGGTGTGTTGCTGCAGTTGATCCCCAAGCACAAATAGCATAGGTGAGGTATGGATAAATAAGTGAGTGGTATAGTGTGAGAAGGGCATTTTGCGGCACGTAGTATCGTATCTTGGAGAGGATCCCAACCGTTTTGGATACTTTTTTGGTTATGTGTTGGATATGGGTGCTGAAATTCAGGTTGTTGTCAAGGTATAGGCCTAGGAATTTGCCCTCATTATGTCTGGTAATTAGAGTGTTGTCGATCTTAATGTTAATTTGTGCAACTCCTGCTCTGCTACCAAACATAATATAGTAAGTTTTGTCAGTGTTAAGCGTAAGTTTATTGGCTGTCATCCAAGTCGATATTTTGATCAGCTCCTCGTTAACAATGGTGTTGAGGGTGGCAAGATTAGGGTGAGAGATGACATAAGTCGTGTTGTCAGCAAAGAAAATGGGTTTCAGGTGTTGGGATACGTTTGGAAGATCATTGATGTATATGAGGAAGAGCAGGGGACCAAGGACACTTCCCTGCGGAACTCCAGTATCAAGTGGCCGTGTTGTTGATGCTGTGTCTTTAATGGTGACATACTGATACCTATTAGTAAGGTAAGATTTGAAATATGCAAGCGCATGGCCTCTTATACCGTAATGATCAAGTTTGTGGAGTAAGTTGCCGTGGTCTACTGTGTCAAAAGCTTTTCTTAGGTCAATAAAAATTCCTAGTGGATATTCCTTATTTTTCAATGATGTGTAAAGCAGATCTAGCATTTTTATGACTGCATCATTAGTGCTTTTATTTTTCCTGAATCCAAATTGGCAGGGGTTGAGTATGTTTTGTGCCGTTATAAATGAATATGGTCTCCTGTGCATGAGTTTCTCAAAGATTTTGGATAGCAATGGTAAGTTTGATATTGGCCTATAGTTGTTTAAATCTGTAGGGCCACCACCTTTATGTATTGGTGTAACCCTTGCCATCTTGAGTAGTTTTGGGAAGGTGCTAGTTTCAAGTGACTTGTTAAAAAGTAATGAAATAGCATGCGAAAGGACATGGGCCGCTCGCTTGTACAATAATGGTGGGACATGAGACAGATTCCCTGAGTTATTTTTAAGTGACTTTATAATCTTGGTGACTTCCGTGAGCTCAGTTGGTGCAAGATAGAAGGAATTTGGGAAATTCCCATCTAGGTAGTCCCCGGCATGGGCACTGGTACGTGGGATTTTATTGGCGAGATTAGATCCTATGGTTGAGAAGAAGTCGTTTATCTTGTTAGCTGTGTCAGTGGGATGCAGTGTTTAATTAGGTTTAGTTAGGACAAAATTCTTGTTTTTTTTCAGTTTGTGGGTCCCCAGAATCTGAGAGAGCGTTTTCCAGGTCTTTTTTATATCTCCTCTTGTGTCTGTGAATCTACTGGAGTAGTATAGTTGTTTGGCTTTCTTTATTACTTTGGTGAGAACTGATGAATAGTGTTTAAGAATATCTTTGTGTATTAAGCCCTGTCTATATTGCTTTTCATATTGGTGTTTCTTATCAATGGATTTCAGAATGGTACTGGTTAGCCATGGACACCCAAGCCGTTTGTTTGTGATCTGTTTCGTTTTTATAGGACAATGTTTGTTGTATAGTCTAAGTAATTTGTTAAGAAAAATGTCTGTCCAGTCATCAATACCATTGGCCTTGGAGAATTCTGTAGGCCAGTCAACAGTCTCTAGGTCAGCTGTGAACTTCCTTATTGAGGCCTCGTCATGGAGTCTAAATGAGACTTTGTTGTATTCAAGTGGTGGTTTACTTACGTTTGTCAAGAGGAAGGTAGGGTAGTGGTCTGTAGTGCTATCTGTGATTTAAGGGGGGCCAGTATATTGGTCCATATGTGGTCTATTATGGTTGCACTTGTCTCAGTGAGCCTGGTTGGTTTAGTTATTGCTGGTATGAGAAGTGTGTTGTTCATATTGTTGATGAAATCAGTTACAGGCTGATCATCTAGTAGGCCAAGGTTGATGTTGAAGTCTCCAGCTAAGAGAAGGTGGTGCTTATTCATTTGTCTGTTTGTTATTAGCGCCTTTAATTTCACACTGAAATTTGGGATGTTTGTGTGGGGTATCCGGTAAATGGCACCGATTGTTATAGGTGTCTTAAGGTTTTTTACAGCAAAATTAGCAAAAATGTATTCCCCATATTCATCACTAAAGCAAGTGGTGTTAATACAAGATAATTGGTTAGAGTAATAGATTGCAATACCACCCCCAACTTGGTATGGTCTGCAGTTGTGAATTGCTGTGTATTCTGGTTTAGAGGGTAGATATCTATTGTGTCCTGCTTAAGCCAGGTCTCAGTAAGAATAATGCAGGAGAAAGGTGTCTTTTGTGATTCAAGAAGTGCCAGGAGGTCATCATAGTGTTTGCTTAAGGACCTGATGTTGTAGTTAAGTACTGATAGACTTTTAGCATTGTTTAGGATAGTGCTGGCTTGTGATGCTGTGTAATAAAGGCAGTTACTTTCCAATAGGTTTTGATTGGGTGTCAGATTATGGAGGTTTAGATCAGGGTCAACGTGATCAATCATCTTCTAGGTTTAACTTATGGTTATTTATATCCTGAGTTGTGTGTTGAGTTCAAGTACTGTTATCTGTAGTGGTGGGAAGTTTGGACAAGTATATAGCTAGAGTATTTTGGTCAAATAGAGTATAGTCACTAATACACATAATGAAGTTGATGTCTATGTGTTGTGCTGGAATGAGCTAAAGTACAACTAGGTATAAACTAATAATACAAAAAAAAAAAATTAAAAATAGCACAAGATTCTCACTTGTAATTGCACATCCCAAACAGTGTATTGCTAATAATGCAATTATTAACCCCTTCAGGGTCCAAGGCCCAAATCTGAAGTGGTGCCCCAGTGTCCAAGAATTTTCCAAAAAAAAATTTATTTTTTTCTTATGAAATGGTAGAGAATCTTTTTGCGAAGGTAATGAAACAAAAAGTACGAAATTTGGTGGAAAATTGACGAAATTATGCTCTCACGAATTTTGATGTGTCAGCGATATTTACGAATCGGCGATTTTGCCGACTTTGACTTCCATTTTAGGCCAATTACATCATTCCAGTCGACCAAATTCTTAGCTATTTTACTAGTATTATTCTATTTATCGATTGAGCACAAGGGAAAACGCCAAGTCAACTGTTTCAACTACAAAATAAAGTGATCGGAAATTGGTAACTTGGCCCAAATTTTAAAACAAAGTTCAAAAAATTCCAATTTCAAAATAGCATCCAGAATATAAACAATGTAGGCATTCCTGGCACTAAACTAACATTTTTTTGGTTCATTAGTTACGTTTTGAGGCTTTACAAATAAATCCCATTTTTATTTTTTATTTACATAATGAATTTTTATTAAACACCAAAAAAATAGAAGATTTACTGTTATGCAATATTGTAATAATTGTATAAATTCATCACACATTGTGAATGTGTATTAGATCCACCAGCTGGCGTTTTAATTAGACGTTGTGAGGTCTTTTGTTTACTCTTGAACATCGACAAAAATTTAACATTTCCGCTATTTTGAGCTCAGTTTCAAGCCATTTCCGGTGCAAAAACCCAATCAAAATCATCTCTATTTTTGTAAATGTCTTCCATTCTATCAAATGAGACCAAGAAATTTCAAAATACAACTATAAAAAACATACGAAAAAACACTGCAAAGTTGCTGTTTTAATCGAAAATCTTGGTTTCAGTTTTTTTTCTCTCATTATACACAGTGTGCTGCAGGATTTGTTTTATGTGGTGCACACATACCACATAGATGTATTCTCTCATATCTAGGCCCAAGTGTACCACTCACAGTTTATCAGAGTGAGCTGAGCTCACGACGTAGATCTACGGTTTGGACACTGAACGCAAAGCCGTAGATCTACGGGATGGACCCTGAAAGGGTTAATAAAAGCAGTTGTTTTATAACCGTATAGCCATTAACTGGATACCACAATCAGCTGAAAGCCTTCACAGAAGTCAGATAAAAATACAGGAATAGTTATCAACCAGTCTATAAGGGACCTGTGTACCTTGGCATATGCTAAGACCTGTAAGCTCTAAGAGGTGCTGCTGGAATCTTTATGCCATAGTGTGGTGTGATCTATGTGCCATGGGATGCTGCTGGTATCCATACAGTACAGTAAGAATATATATAAACCTGCCTTCACTACTACATACTGCAGCCATCATAATGCCAGGTAGCAGTATCCACCACCAGGAAACATCCATGATCAGCAATCAATACAAACCCTTTGATATATACCTTTGAAGAGTTTCGCTACTCTCAGAGCCTGGCCATGGGCCTGGACATCGACCAATATTAGGTACACAATATTATTGGTATCTAATAGACCATCACACAACCAGTAATGAAGTTTTAAACATCAAATAAAGGATAAAAACAAATCATTAATAATAAAGGAGGAAAGTTGAAAGTGAACATAGATAAGAGTAAGGTGATGAGGGTATCAAACAAGTTAGGTAAAGAAAAAGTGGATATCACATTGGAGGGAGTTTGGAAGAAGTGAATGTATTCAGATATCTGGGAGAAGACTTGTCAGTGGATGGGTTTATGAAGGATAAGGTTAACCACAGAACTGATGAAGGGAAAAGGGTGAGTGGTGCATTAGGTATCTGTGGAGACAAAAAAACGTTATCCAAGGAGGCAAAGAAGGGAATTTACACGAGTATAGTGGTACCAACATATATATGGGTGTGAAGCATGGGTTGTAAATGTGGCAGCAAGGAGGAGGCTGGATGCAGTGGAGATGTCATGTCTAAGGGCAATGTGTGGTGTAAATATTATGCAGAGAATTCATAGTGTGGAAATTAGGAGGTGTGGAGTTCCAAAAAGTATTATTCAGAGGGCTGAATATGGAGTGTTTAGGTGGTTTGGTCATTTAGAGAGGATGGAGGTAAAAAAAGGATGACTTGGAGGGTGTATAAATCTGAAGTGGAGGGGAGGAGGGGTAGGTTCGTCCTAGGAAAGGATGGAGGGAGGGGGTAAAAGAGGTTTTATGTGCAAGGAGCCTGGACATGCAGCAGGTATGTATGTGTGTGTTAGATAGGAGTGAATGGAGACGAATGGTTTTGGGGGCCTGACAAGCTGTTGGCGAGTGAGCAGGGTAACATTTTGTGAAGAGATTCAGACAAACTGGTTAGCCGGACTCGAGTCCTGAAGGTGGGAAGTACAATGCCTACACTTTAAAGGAGGGGTTTGGGATATTGGCCGTTTGGAGTGACATCTAAAATGTCGTATCTGGGCGCCTCTGCAAAGACAATGATTGTGTAAATGATGGTCACCCTGCCTTGGTGGGAGACGGCCAATGTGTTTAAAAAAAAAATCAAGAAACAGCCTATAAAATGATAAAACTATCCTAGACAACACCCTAAAGTCATTATTTTAAACTTAACACAAGGTCGAGTTTTGCTTTTCCGACCAAGCACCTCGTGAGGCAGGATTTTTTTTATATACTGTGCACACTTACCACAGACCCATTCTGTCATATCTAGGCCAAAATGTACCACTCACAGCTTATCTGAGTGAGCTGAACTCATGACGTAGCTCTACATGATGGACCCTGGCATCAATAATGCACATCCATGCGACGAACAGTTTAAGGGTTAAAAGTGGCAAAATGGCATGGACACACTCCAGTAAATATACAAACCTTCTACTAAGTAGGATACAAGTTTTGAACTTTTAAAGATAATCAAAGGAGCTTGTCTCCACCATTCACACAAATAAAATGAATAAACGGGAATAATCTATGTAGCATTGTGCTTCAATGTAAACACTTGATCTACACATCCCCCTGCCCATTCTAAAGCTTCCTTGCTCCTCTGCAATCTTGCTCTCTGTCTTACCTCTAATTCTTTCAATAATAAACCCTACCATACACTTTACTTGGTATACTCAGTAAACTTATTCCCCTATAATTTTTAATCTCTTTTGTCCTCCTTCCCTTTATATAAAGGAATTATACATGATCTCTGCCAATCACTAGGTACCTACCCCCTCTTTCATACATTTATTAAACAAAAATACCAACCACTCCAACACTATATCTCCCCCTGCTTTTAACATTTCTGTCATGATCCCATCAGTTCCAACTGCTTTACCCCCTTTTCATTCTACGTAATGCCTCACACACCTCCACCACACTCACATCCTGTTCTTGTTCACTCCTAAAAGATGCTATACCTCCTTGACCAGTGCATAAAATTACTGCCTCCCTTTCTTCATCGACATTTAAAAGTTCCTCGAGATATTTCCGCATTTACCCAATACCTCCAGCTCCCCATCTACTAACTTCCCTACTCTGTTTTTAACTGACAAATCCATTTGTTCCCTAGGCTTTCTTAACTTGTTTATCTCCAAAATTTTTCTTATTCTCAGCAAAATTTCTTGACAGTACCTCTCCCACTCTTTTATGTACTCTCCTTTTGTACTCTCTCACCACTCTCTTCACCTTTCTTTTACTCTCCATACACTCTGCCCTTCTTATATCACTTCTGCTTTGTAAAAACCTCTCATAAGCTACCTTTTTCTATCGCACCCTTTGCCTCATCATTTAACCAATCACTCCTCTTTCCTCCTGTACCCACCCTCCTATAGCCACAAACTTCTGTCTCACATTCTAATACTATTCCATTTTAAAACTATCCCACCCCAACTCCTCCACTACCCATACTCACTCTTACTAACTGTTGCCATTTTCCTTTTGTCCCACCTACCTCTTACTCTAACTGTAGCTACAACTCGATAATGATCCGATATATCCGTTGCCCCTCTATAAACATGTACATCCTGAAGCCTACCCATCAACCTTTTATACATCAATGCATAATCTAACAAACTACATACTTTCATTACATGCTATATCATATCTTGTATACTTATCTATCCTCTTTTTCATAAAATATGTATTATTACCAAACCTCTTTCTACACAAAGTTCAATTAAAGGCTCCCCATTTTCATTTACCCCTGGCACCCCAAATTTACCTACTACTCCCTGTATGACATTTTTACCCACTTTAGCAATGAGATCCCCCAACATTACTGCTAAATAATGTTGGGGATCTCAATACAGCAGTACACCTTCTCCTCGCTTGGCGATGTACTCATTTACCAACAACTCGGACTTACGACAGCCTCTCTGACCAGTATGCATATGTAAATAATGTATATTAGAGCTGACTTCCTTTATTCTGTTTGTTGCAATATACAGTACACTACTGTATAAACATTTAAAAATATACCAGAATTGTTATAAATGGTGCAAAGGTGACATTAAAACAATAGAAAAGATGGCTGATACAAACCCACTACCATTATACACAGTATGCTCCTCACGTAGCTATGAATTAATTTACTGACGTTGTCTTGGGAACAGAATTACGTTGTTAACCCTTTCAGGGTCCCCAGGCCCTCTCCAAGACTTGTTCTCAGGGTCGCCAAATTTAAAAAAAAAAAAAAAATTTTTTCTTATGAAAAGATAGAGAATCCTTTCTCAATCATAATAACACCAAAAGTATGAAATTTGATAAAAAACTTACGGAATTATGCTCTCGCGAAGTTAGCAGTCTCGATGATGTTTACACATCGGTGATTTTGCCCACTTTGAGCCCTATTTTTGGCCAATTCCAGTGAACTAGTCGATAAAAATCATAACTATTTCGCTAGAACTCCATTCTTACAAAAAATAGAAGATTTACTGTTATGCAGACTACTGAATTAGTGTAGATATGGTATAAATATTATCAGCGCACTTGTGAAAGAATATTAGACTCACCAGTTGACGTGCATTGGACGCTTGGCATGATTTGTTTACTTTTGAACTTTGGTAAAAATCGAACATTTCTGCTACTTTGAGCTCAATTTCAAGGTAATTTTCATTGTAAAACCAGTCAAAATCATCTCAATTTCTGTAATATGTCTTCCATTCTATAAAATGAGACCAGGAAAACTAGAATACAACAATAAATACCATACAAAAAAACAGTGCAAATTCGCTGTTTTAATCCAAAAACACGGTCAGTTTTTTTTTTTCTCATTACGCACTGTGTGCTGCAGGATTTTTTTTATAATGCGCACACTGACCACATAGACCCATTCTTTCATATGTAGGCCTACCAGCTTTCTCTCACTAGATTTGAGGGCGCTAGAATTTAGGCATACTAGTACGTCAAAAACCCTGGTGCGTAAGCCGTACTAGTACGGCCAAAACCCTGATAGGGTTAAGTGAGGAGAGGCTGTATTATACATACCTGAACCAAAAGATCACTGGCTTTTTGTGTCTGAGTTCTAGTATCAGGAGGCTGAAATGCTGCAGTTGAAGCTTTAGTATAATGATCTTCTGGAAGACCTTTCAAATGTGCTAGCCGGGAGGCCATTTCTTCTTCCGTTGGTAAATTCTCCATTTGGGACTGGCGGAGATTCTGCAGACGCTGTGCAATTTCCAAATCAGCCTGAGGAAGATGCACAGCAGATTACCTAACTGATATTTATGACACTCATTAAATACAGTTAAAATATAATCATACTTGTTAATAAATTTACTATGCAGAAATTTTACAACCAGTTTTATGGAGATAATTTCCATACACACATGCCAATAATTGAGCATAACCCTCGAAAGCTCCAAATACAAGTATAGTACAGTACTGGAGACTGTGACCCATACATCACTGTTACAAAACATCAATTTATCTGTCTGTGTTATCTATGGTATACCACAGCATATAACAGCATTTATGCAATGCAGTGATAAAAAACAGAATATGTTTGATTATTTACTGAAAGTGCTAAACCTGTAGCAGCCATAAAGAGTCTGGGATAAGTAAGGCAGTAAAATCCAATCCAAAGAAAGGAGAGGATAAATCCAGTTCCTTGGGTCAAGACCTCACCATGAAGGAATTAAGGATATTTTTGCGAGATTTCCTCAACCCTTGATGGCCAATGAAAGCCAAGAAATTTGACTATACAGTGGAACCTCGCCTAACGAACGCATCGCATAACGTTAAATCCGCCTAGCGATACATTTTAACGCAAAATTTTTGCCTCGGCTAGCGCTCAAAAACTCGCTCAATGAGGTTCGTTCGAGACGCGTCCACGTGTGGCCTGAGCCTGCCTCACTTGTTCCTTGGGTGCCAGTGTTTACAAGCCAGCCACCGCGGTCGCTTCCAAGCATACAATCGGAACATTTCATATTATCATAGCCTTTTTAGTGATTGCACCTGCAAAATAAGTCACCATGGGCCCCAAGAAAGCTTCTAGTGCCAACCCTACAGCAAAAAGAGTGAGAATTACTATGGATATGAAGAAAGAGATCATTGCTAAGTATGAAAGTGGAGTGCGTGTCTCCGAGCTGGCCAGGTTGTACACAAAACCCCAATCAACCATCGCTACTATTGTGGCCAAGAAAATGGCAATCAAGGAAGCTGTTCTTGCCAAAGGTGCAACTTTGTTCTCGAAACAGAGATCGCAAGTGATAGAAGATCTTGAGAGACTGTTATTAGTGAGGATAAACAAAAAACAGATAGCAGGAGATAGCATCTCTCAAGCGATCATATGTGAAAAGTCTAGTTGCATGACGATTTAATTAGAAAAATGCCTGCAACTAGTGATGATGTGAGTGAATTTAAGGCCAGCAAAGGTTGGTTTGAGAGATTTAAGAATCGTAGTGCCATACATAGTGTGATAAGGCATGGTGAGGCTGCCAGTTAGGACCACAAAGCAGCTGAAAAATATGTGCAGGAATTCAAGGAGTACATAGACAGTGAAGGACTGAAACATGAACAAGTGTTTAATTGTGATGAAACAGGCCTGTTTTGGAAGAAAATGCCAAACAGGGCATACATTACTCAGGAGGAAAAGGCACTCCCAGGACATAAGCCTCTGAAAGACAGGCTTACTCTGTTGATGTGTGCCAATGCTAGTGGTGATTGCAAAGTGAAGCCTTTATTGGTGTATCACTCTGAAACTCCCAGTGTGTTCAGGAAAAACAATGTCCTCAAGGCTAATGTGTGTGTGCTGTGGAGGGCAAACAGTAAGGCATGGGTCACTAGGGACTTTTTCTATGACTGGTTACACCATGCATTTGCCCCCAATGTGAAAAATTACCTAATTGAAAAGAAATTAGACCTTAAGTGCCTGCTGGTATTAGACAATGCTCCTGGCCATCCTTCAGACGTGGCAGAGCGACTTTCTGCGGAAATGAGCTTCATTAAGGTCAAGTTTTTGCCTCCTAATACCACTCCTCTCCTGCAGCCCATGGACCAGCAGGTCATTTCCAACTTCAAGAAACTGTACACAAAAGCTATGTTTGAAAGGTGCTTTGTAGTGCCCTCAGAAACTCAATTGACTCTAAGAGAGTTTTGGAGAGATCACTTTAGCATCCTCAATTGTGTAAAGATTATAGGTAAGGCTTGGGAGGAAGTGACTAAGAGGACCTTGAACTCTGCTTGGAAGAAACTGTGGCCAGAATGTGTAGACAAAAGGGATTTTGAAAGGTTTGAGGCTAACCCTGGGAATCCTATGCCAGTTGAGGAATCCACTGTGGCATTGGGGAAGTCCTTGGGGTTGGAGGTTAGTGGGGAGGATGTGGAAGAGTTGGTAGAGGAGGACAATGAAGAACTAACCACTGATGAGCTGCTAGATCATCTTCAACAGCAAGAGGCCACACCTGAGGAAACTGCTTCGGAGGAGGGGATAGAGAAATTGAGGAAGTTGCCTACTTCAAAGATTAAGGAAATGTGTGCAATGTGGCTTAAAGTGCAAACCTTTTTTGATGAAAATCACCCTCACACAGCTATTGCAAGCCGTGTTGGCAACCTGTACACTGACAATGTTGTGAAACACTATAGGAAAGTCATAAAGGAACGGGAGGTACAGGCCTCTATGGACAGATATGTTGTGCGACAGAGGTCCAGTGACTCTCAAGCTGGTCCTAGTGGCATTAAAAGAAGAAGGGAAGTAACCCCGGAAAAGGACTTGCCACCTCAAGTCCTAATGGAAGGGGATTCCCCTTCTAAACACTAACACCATCAACACTGCCCTCCTCCCATCCCATCAATCATCACCAGATCTTCAATAAAGGTAAGTGTCATATAACTGTGCATGTCTTCTTCAGTTTGTGTGTATTAAAATTAATATTTCATGTGGTAAAATTTTTTTTTTGCTCATACTTTGGGGTGTCTTGCACGGATTAATTTGATTTCCATTATTTCTTATGGGGAAAATTAATTCGTCTAACGATAATTTCGCCTAAAATTGAGCTCTCAGGAACGGATTAATAGCGTTAGGCAAGGGTCTACTGTACTACCTTATTCAAAGATACAGTAACCATATAGGTACAGTAAAGAACAGAATGACAGATAACAGGGTGCCAAATGAAGGTTATCCAATTTGTTTAAGCAACAGAAATCTTAAAATCATGTAAAGTGGCCCAGTCAGAAGTATGATGAATAGTGTATTGAAAGTAAGTTGCTATGAGTTAACAATCTGTGCCTGCACAAGCAATACCTACCTACCTACCTACCTGGAGGATGTGCCAGAGGTCAACACCCCCAATGCCTGGTCCATGACCAGGCCTCCAGGAAAATAAGTCTACATACATGTATAGGGATGATCAATGTTTGAAGGAAGAACAGAGGCATGTTTGTTAATGGTGGTGTCAGAAACAAGATAGTGCTAAGCACACAGCCTTGTAGTACACCCTCAAATTGCACAAAGTTAAGGGAAAAGCTTTGGATGCATATTTTACAGACTCCAAAGCCATTCAAGTAGAAGCCATGGATCAACAACTAAGCAATTTGTTGACACAGTAGAAAACAGCTGTGACTTAGCACATGAAGTCACAACTGAAAACTGCCAATATGGTGATCAGGGTAACATTGAAAAACCACGAATACCAAATAAATCCTATTTTTTTTTCAACACGGCAGTCGTCTCCCACCGAGGCAGGGTGACCCAAAAAAGAAAGAAACATTTTCACCATCATTCAACACTTTCACCATCACTCTCACAATATCACTATCTTTGCAGAGGCACCCAGATATGACAGTTTAGATATCCTAAATATATATGTTAAAAAAAAACATATCTTGCAGAGGTAAGCCAAGGACCAAAAGACTGGTCTTGATAAAATTTAACAAAAAAATAAAAAACCAAACCTCATTAAGGCAGCCATGGGATCAAAAACAAATACTGCAATTAGTTATCTGTTAATGGTTTCTTGGATCACTGCATCTGCAAGTCAAGTCTCAGTCTATGTTTCCCCATGTGGAAATGAAATATTACAGGAATATAAGCTATTAACCCTTTCAGGGTCCGTCCCGTAGATCTACGGCTTTACGTTCAGGGTCCAAACCGTAGATCTACGCCATGAGCTCAGCTCACTCTGATAAACTGTGAGTGGTACATTTGGGCCTAGATATGAGAGAATACATCTATGTGGTATGTGTGCACCACATAAAACAGATCCTGCAGCACACTGTGTATAATGAGACAAAAAATGAAATCATGATTTTTCGATTAAAACAGCAACTTTGCAGTGTTTTTTCGTATATTTTTTATAGTTGTATTTGCGATTTCTTGGTCTCATTTGATAGAATGGAAGATATATTACAGAAATAGAGATGATTTTGATTGGTTTTAGCACTGGAAATGGCTTGAAACTGAGCTCAAAGTAGCAGAAATGTTAAATTTTTGCCGATATTCAAGAGTAAACAAACGACCTCACACGTCTAATACACATCAGCTGGTGGGTCTAATATACATTCACAAATATGGTGATGATATTTATACAATTATTACAGTATTGCATAACAGTAAATCTTCTATTTTTTGGTGTGAATAAAAATTCATTGTGAATAAAAAATCAAAATGGAATTTATTTGTAAAGCCTCAAAACATAACTAATGAACAGAGGAAATGTTAGTTTAGTGCCAGGAATGCCTACATTGTTCATTCTGGACCCTATTTTGAAATTGGAATATTTTGAACTTTGTGTTAAATTGGCCAAATTAACAATTTCCGATCACTTTATTTTGTAGTTGAAACAGTTGACTTGGCGATTTCTTGTGCTCAATCGATAGAATAGAAGTAATACTAGTGAAATAGCTAAGAATTTGGTTGACTGGAATAATGTAATTGGCCTAAAATGGGAGTCAAAGTCAGCAAAATCGCCGATTCGTAAATATTGCTGACACATCAAAATTCGCGAGAGCATAATTTCGTCAATTTTCCACCAAATTTCGTACTTTTTGTTTTATTACCTTCACAAAAAGATTCTCTACAATTTCATAAGAAAAAATAACAAATTTTTTTTTGGAAAATTCTTGGACACTGGCGCGTGACTCCAGATTTGGGCCTTGGACCCTGAAAGGGTTAAGACAGGTAAATATAATTATATAATGATTCTAAGTAGTTGTTTGTAAGATTTACCTGCATAGCTTATACATCTATTTTTTCCAACACACCATAACACTTAAAGTGTAAGCACATGGTCATTTATAGTTCAGAGAATGTGCCCCAAAAGGCAAGTTTGCCATGTTCAGCCTTTAAGTGTCATTATAACCAGGTGCAATGAATGACTGAGTGACTGGGAGCTATTCTTGAATTAGGTGGTGCACTAAGTGAGTGCTTGCACTATGGCACTATTGTGTACTGTATAATCAGACATCTCACATTCTTCCTCACCATAATACATAAAACACAAGTACACAAGAGGTTTACTGCAATACTGTAAGTCTAAATAAATAAAAAAAATTGGTTGGGGAGGGATTTTTCCCAGAAAACAATGTGGTGTGTGTGTTCACAAGAAGAGAGATAGAGAGAGAGGAGGGAAGTTAAAAAAAAAAAAAAAAAAAGGTTGCATTCTTGTTAATATTGAGTAACTTAACAAGTGAAGTGGGAGGCAGCATACTTTTGAGAGATTAGCCATGCCAGCTGATGGTCCAGGATAGATTGTGATTGGAGCTTGCTGGGGAGGTGATATCATCTGCAAACTCTTCTCTAAGGAGCTTTTAGAGAGCTGTTTCTTCAAAGGGTTTTTGTCCTGATCACTCATTGCTTCTGATTCTTACGAGTTTCTGAAAATTAAAATACTTTTAATAAAACTTTAGAAATATTCACAGGCAGGTAGCATTACATAAATATGACATATAAAATAAAATTATTGGCGCCGAGATCTGAATATTGTAGTTGGCAGTTGAATGAGCAAACATTCGGTTTATATTAGCTACCTTTGTAATATTATTGCATTTCATTTGAATATACATGTACATGTATAACTAAATACCTATTCGCCAATTACTACCTAACCGGTTGTCTTTCTTAAGCTTCATCAGGCATATATACAATTAAGTATACAAATCTTTTTTTGGGAGTGGCAGCCCCCACCACATGTTGATACTGTATGTACAGTACTACACCATGACTTATGATAAGATTTTTAGATTTTTAACCAGGAGGGTTAGCCACCCAGGATGAGCCAACAAAGTTGGTACATTATCCAGGCCTGTTAGTCTTATTTTCAAATTCAACCTAAAATAATCTAATGTATGTACTTTAATCTTACTTTGCCATTCATAGATACATGTCTATGTTTACATTCAGCTAAGCACATGACAACTTATTACTAAGCAGTGATTGACTCAAACACGCTGAGAAACCAAAATAAATGTATCATTTTCACCATCTCCCAAAATGACAATCTGCATGCAAAATGCTTACTGTCAAATGGGGTAACTGTGATAATGCAAGGTAATTGTGATAAACATTTTCTTTTCCTTTCCTGAGATAATAACCTATAGAATGTAGATTTAAAAAAAAAATTAATAAGCAATGTGTTGTAACTGTCATTAAACTAAGAATTTTCAGATAGATAAATATTAATTTTACTGATGATTCCATTTCAAAAAGAGAAAAAGTGGCCAAATCTGTAAATTTCATGAGAGTAATTGCAATCAATGTGATGACAGAGAATGATTAGGTTCTGTGAGTTACTTTCTCACCAAAAAAACTTCAAATTTTGTGAGGTAAACTTAGGTACATTATTACAGTAATAACTGGAAGCATTGTATCTTGGGGAAAGGAAGAGGGGAGTGGAGGGGGGGGGGGAGTCCAGTTGAGGTGTGGGGTAACTGAGAAGATAATGACTATAACATCTTATGTGAGATACTGTAATTGATTCTCAACCATATTATCACAAAACTTTTCCTATTTTCCTACATTTTTCTCTTTCCAATGACAACAGGATGTTGTGAAAATACATCCCTCTGTGTGAAGCAATTAGGATGCAGTACAAAAATGATATCACAAAGGAGGCTCTGAAGGCGACTGCTTTGAATCTAAATGTAAGGAGTATGCTGTGGGTCGCTTCCAAACCAACAAGCAGAAGGAAGCCTGCTATATAGGAAAATTTAAACCTAGTAGAACTGAAGGAAACACACTGGGACAAAGTAACAAAAAAAGGCACAATACTGTGACTGGAACGATACACAAATAACCCGCATGTAAGCTCCTTTCTTTTATGTGCGGGTTATTTGTATATGGGACAAAGTACTTATGGGAAACCAAGGGAGCTGGAAAGACAAAGTTACATTTAGAGAACCCAGTGTTTCTGATATCTATGCAATACTAATTAGTGATCTTGATGATTTTAGATAAACCTAAAATTATTAAAGGAAGATTCACTTTTGCATTTTTTTTTTAATAAATCTCATTACAACTATTAGTAAGTTAAGAACGCTTTGTGTTTTCAAATGGCTATAATTTTTCTTCTAAGCACTTACTCTTGCTTCAGTTGCATAATAATTTTTACAAATTAAAACAAAAAATTAAGAAATAATTGAAGTGAATGTAAAATGTACTAATATTTTTGGTGCAAAACTGCATTCTGGCAAAATTTGTAATGTCTGATAATCTGACTTAGAAAAATCAAGAAACAAAATTTATACACCAAAACATTCCTTGAATTATACTCTATGCTTTGAAAGAAAAAAGACTGATTTTATTTAAACACATTTTTTTTCAGCCATAGGGATCATAAGTGCTTAACCCTTTCAGGGTTTCAGCCGTACTAGTACGGCTTACACACCAGGGTTTTTGATGTACTAGTATGCTTAAATTCTAACGCCCTCAAATCTAGTGAGAGAAAGCTGGTAGGCCTACATATGAAAGAATGGGTCTATGTGGTCAGTGTGCGTAGTATAAAAAAAAAAATCCTGCAGCACACAGTGCGTAATGAGACAAAACAAAACTTTGACCGTGTTTTTGGATTAAAACAGCAACTTTGCACTGTATTTTTGTATGGTATTTATTGTTGTATTCTAGTTTTCCTGGTCTCATTTTATAGAATGGAAGACATATTACAGAAATTGAGATGATTTTAACTGGTTTTACAATGAAAATTACCTTGAAATTGAGCTCAAAGTAGCAGAAATGTTCGATTTTTACCAAAGTTCAAAAGTAAACAAATCATGCCAAGCGTCCAATACATGTCAACTGGTGAGTCTAATATTCTTTCACAAGTGCGCTGATATTATTTATACCATTTCTACACTAATGCAGTAGTCTGCATAACAGTAAATCTTCTATTTTTTGTAAAAATAAAAATTGAAAGTGGAAAGCCAAAGAAATATAAGAGGGGCCTGGGGATGTGACTAACGAACAGAGAACTTGTTATTTTAGTGCAAGGATTGTCTTTCTTGTTTATTCTGGACCCTATTCGGAAACTGGCATCTTTTGAAATTTGTGTGAAATTGGCAAAATTGCTAAATTCTGACCACTTTATTGGATAGTTGAAATCGGTAAATAGGCGGTTTCTTGTACTCATTCGATAGAAAAAATGGAGTTCTAGCTATGATTCTATGATTCTAGTTATGATTCTTGTCAACTAGTACACTGGAATTGGCTGAAAATAGGGCTCAAAGTGGGCAAAATTGCTGATGCGTAAACATCGTCGAGACCGCTAACTTCGCGAGAGCATAATTCCGTAAGATTTCCATCAAATTTCATACTTTTTGGTGTCATTATGATTGGGAAAAGATTCTCTATCTTTTCATAAGAAAAAAAAATTTTTTTTTTTTTTAAATTTGGCAACCCTGAGAACAAGTCTTGGAGAGGGCCTGAGGACCCTGAAAGGGTTAAGGGAATGAGAAGCAAGGAGGTTTGTTTCAAGGCAGGAAAGGTCAGTCAATTCTTTACATTGAAACCCCTCATTGACATCATATAATCATTACATTCATTTGTGAGTGATAAACCCCCAGGGACTACACAGCACCTGGGGAAATGGGAGGTATTCAGGTTCAATCCATGGAATGGTAAAGCAGACCCAATTCCTTGAATTAAGTGCCTCACCAGCATCAAGGAACCTCCCTTGAGGGGCCTTAGATCAAGAGCCCCCCCTCACACGCATCAAGGAGACTTCCCTAAGGGGCCTTCGCTCAAGTGCCCCTCACAGGCATGAAGGAAGTTTCCTTAAGAGGTCCCTTGGATCAAGAGTCCTTCACCAGCATTAAGAAACCTTCCTTGAGGAACCATGGCTTGGTTGGCAAGCTTTTGTTTCACACACTGAGTGTCCGTAGTTCAATCCCTAGCCGGGCGGTAACGATGGTCATGTTTCCTTACACGTGATGTCCCATGTTCACCTAGCAGTAAGTAGGTACCTGGCTGTTAGCTGACTGGTGTGGGTGGCATCTTAACGGGGAACAAGACTGAAGGATCACAATGGAAATAAGACAGTCCTCAAAAATGCACTGACTTTTTTGGGTTACCCTTGGCGACTAACCCACAGTGTTAAAAATCTGAACAAATTTTAATTTATCTTAAGAACCCCTCACAGGCATCAAAGGACCTTCCTTGAGGAACCTGATTCAAGAGCCCCTCAAAGGTATCAAGGAACCTTCCTTGAGGAACTTTGGATCAAGAGCCCCTCACATGCATGAATGAACCTTGGATCAAGAGCCCCTCACTGGCAAGAACCAAGTCAAGGAGGTTATTTCCCCTAGTTGGCTCTGTCACAAACTGTTTTAAAAAACAATCCTGGATCTTATCAAGAAAGTCACCTGACTAAATTTCCTGTCAAATTGCTCCAGTCAATCTGTCTGTCTATAGTTGAAATCTCCCAATACCACAACATTTTTGTATGTAGATGCCTTACGAATTTCTATGGGACGAAATTCGTAAGGCATCTACATACGAAAATGTTGTGCTAATGGGAGATTTCAACTATAGACAGATTGACTGGAGCAATTTGACAGGAAATTTAGAGTCAGGTGACTTTCTTGATACGATCCAGGATTGTTTTTTAAAACAGTTTGTGACAGAGCCAACTAGGGGAAATAACCTCCTTGACTTGGTTTTTGCCAGTAGGGAAACACTAATTAATAATCTTGAGGTTAATGATGAGCTTGGGGAAAGTGATCACAAATCACTCATTTTTTAATATATCATGGAATTCCCCTACTAATGGCAATCAAGTCTCCATCCCTGATTTTTCGCTTGGCTGATTTCATAGGACTGAAAAATTACTTAGGTGGGCTGAACTGGAATGACCTGACAAGGGCAGGTAGGTGGTGAGGGTTTGGGCAATATGACACTTTCCAGGGCATAGTTCTAGCTGCTCAGTCAAATTATGTTCCAAACAGGGAAATCAATCAAAAAAAAATGATCCTAAAGGGATGAACAATAGATTAAAATATCTGACTGGTCAAAAGAGAGGCATATATAGGCAAATCAAAGAGGAGGGGGGCAATTAAAATCGATATATTCATTTAGAGAGAGAAATAAAAAAGGAATTAGAAAAGCAAAAGAGATTATGAGGTTAAATTGCAAGAGAACTGAAGACTAACCCAAAAGGATTCTTTCAGGTATACAGAAGTAAAAATCAGGGACAAGAAGGCCCACTCAAAAGTTCCTGGGTCAGCTCACTGACAGTGATAAGGAAATGTGTAAATTTTTTAACACATACTTCCTCTCAGTTTTTACACAGGAGGATACCAGCGATATTCCAGAAATGATAAAATTATGTAGAACAGGACAATAATAAACTGTGCACGATTAGGGTCACAAGTGACATGGTCCTTAGGCAAAAAGATAAAATTTAAAAACCCAACAAATCCCCAGGCCCTGATGAACTGTATGCAAGGGTTCAAAGGGAAAGTAAAGAGGAGCTTAGCAAACCTTTGGCTAATCTTTTCAGCATATCACTACAAACTGGCATGCTGCCAGATAATGGAAAATGGCAAATGTGATACCTATTTTCAAAGCAGGTGACAGGGCCTTAGCTTCGAACTATAGACCCCAAAAAGCCTAACCTCCATAGTGGGAAAATTTATGGAATCAATAATTGCCGAGGCAGTCGTAGCCACCTTGAAAAGCATAAATTAATCAACGAATCTCACATGGTTTTACAAAGGGGCGTTCCTGCCTTACGAATTTATTAACTTTTTTCACTAAGGTATTTGAGGAGGTAGATCATGGTAATGAATATGATATTGTGTATATGGACTTCAGTAAGGCTTTTGACAAGGTCCCACATCAGAGACTATTGAGGAAAATTAAGGCACATGGAATAGGAGGAGAAATTTTTTCCTGGATAGAGGCATGGTTGACAAATAGGCAGCAGAGAGTTTGCATAAATGGGGAGAAATCAGAGTGGGAAAGCGTCACGAGCGGTGTTCCACAGGGGTCAGTGTTGGGCCCCCTGCTGTTCACAATCTACATAAACGACATAGATGAGGGCATAAAGAGCGACATCAGCAAGTTTGCCGATGACACCAAAATTGGCAGTCGAATTCATTCTGACGAGGACATTAGAGCACTCCAGGAAGATTTGAATAGACTGATGCAGTGGTCGGAGAAGTGGCAGATGCAGTTTAATATAGACAAATGCAAAGTTCTAAATGTTGGACAGGACAATAACCATGCCACATATAAACTAAATAATGTAGATCTTAACATTACAGATTGCGAAAAGATTTAGGAGTTCTGGTTAGCAGTAGTCTGAAACCAAGACAACAGTGCATAATTTTGTTCGCAATAAAGCTAATAGAATCCTTGGCTTCATATCAAGAAGCATAAATAATAGGAGTCCTCAGGTTGTTCTTCAACTCTATACATCCTTGGTTAGGCCTCATTTAGCTTATGCTGCGCAGTTTTGGTCACCGTATTACAGAATGGATATAAATGCTCTGGAAAATGTACAAAGGAGGATGACAAAGTTGATCCCATGTATCAGAAACCTTCCCTATGAGGATAGACTGAGGGCCCTGAATCTGCACTCTCTAGAAAGACGTAGAATTAGGGGGGATATGATTGAGGTGTATAAATGGAAGACAAGAATAAATAAACGGGATGAAAAATAGTGTGCTGAAATATCTAGCCTAGACAGGACTCGCAGCAATGGTTTTAAGTTGGAAATATTCAGATTCAGGAAGGATATAGGAAAGTACTGGTTTGGTAATAGAGTTGTGGATGAGTGGAACAAACTCCCAAGTACAGTTATAGAGGCCAGAACGTTGTGTAGCTTTAAAAATAGGTTGGATAAATACATGAGTGGATGTGGGTGGGTGTGAGTTAGACCTGATAGCTTGTGCTACCAGGTCGGTTGCCGTGTTCCTCCCTTAAGTCAATGTGACCTGACCTGACTAGGTTGGGTGCATTGGCTTAAGCCGGTAGGAGACTTGGACCTGCCTCGCATGGGCCAGTAGGCCTGCTGCAGTGTTCCTTCGTTCTTATGTTTTTATGAGGACTCTTGGATCAAGAGCCCTTCACAGGCATCAAGGAATCTTGCTTGAGGACTCTTGGATCAAGAGCCTCTCACAGGCATCAAGGAACCTTGCTTGAGGACCTTTGGATCAAGAGCCCCTCACAGAAGCTTCTTAAGGGGTAAAGAATTTAGAGCTCCCGAGTGCAAATTAGACGAAAACTCCATTAATAAAGAGTTGTCTTAAATCAAAAAGTACACCATTCGGCTTCACATGAAATAAAAAAAAAGTTTTACAATGACATTAATTACAGTTTAAATTAAAACATTCAAAATTTTGACAGGTGAAGACACAAGCGGCAGGTCAGACTTTATAACAAGACTACCATTATGACTCAGGTGTATGGCCACGACGAGTGCACACGTCACTCTAGTGATGTGATAACAGTGAAGGAGATTAGTAAGAGTGAGTGGTCATGGAAGGCAGTGACAATAGTAGTATATAAAAAAAAACTCACTGTAATAAGCAGTGACCATCACTGACGCCACACCTGCAACCATAACAAAGCATTCAACTACCCACTACTACCACCATCTATTATCCTAACTACCACCCATATATGACCATTATATACTCACGTTCTAATTTTATTTTGAGCTTAGGGTGATATTGTACTTTATTTCTAAAATGTTTTAATTTTGAACCTATTTTATTTTTATCTTAAATTCTCAGATGAGTATCCGGAAGTAATCAAGTTGTTCTATCAGCTTATTTATATTGTTTTGTTAGGTCATGTATTTTATTTATTCTTAGAAAATGCTAAATTTTGTTTTTCTTTGGAGATTTTAAGGACTACGGCTGATGTTTGAGGTCAATAATATTAAGTAGAGGAGTATAGAGAAAACAGGTGATGAGAGGGAGGCTGGAGGTGGTAGCTGCGACGTCAATATATCTCTCTTATTTCTGCTTATTTCTGCTGCTGGTGGACTCACTATGGCAGACACCGACATCCTCACTACACTCAAGATCCTCATCATCGGCGAGAGTGGTGTAGGCAAGTCCAGGTGAGGAGATAACTACATTAACGAGTGTTTTTGTTCTGGTTCTCTTCTCTTTTGAAATTTACAAATTGTATGAGTCAAAGTTTTCATTTTGGGTGTCTGATAAGTTTTACCACAAATGTAAAAGACCAGGTAATACACGTTCAATTAGCATTATTCTTTCGTGAGTTACTTTATTACACAGTTCCTGTGGACGGTCAAAATTTCACCAAATATTTCATTAAGAAAATGGTACTGATTACAAACTTGTTTTTATGTCGTTCAGATCTGAAATTTAGAATTCAATCTTATTACCACGTTTTGTCGAATTCTTAAGACTTTAAGATGAATTCAATCTTAGAAGAAACTCCGGTGGAAATAAATAACATTGTTTTGACTTTATTGGGTTGTCCTAAGTTAAATCTACATAGTGTTTTTAATGTTTCTAACACCTGTGTGCTCTTAAGACCATTGTGAAAAATATATTTTTAGAACTCCAATGGAAATAAGTCACTTTGTCCAACTGTTTTGGGTTATCCTAGGTAGTTTACACTGTATAAAATTGTACTTATGTGTATCTGTGTCTAAATAAACTTACTAGGTACACAAAACTAAATATAAACCTTGGCATAAGTCAGTACTCTGACTGGAACAATATACAGATAACCTGCACTTACAAGAGGAAACTTATGCCAATGTTTTGGTCCATCCTGGACCACTGTCCAGGGTGGACCAAAGTTTCCTCTCAAAATGTGGGATATTTGCATACAAGGTCAGTGAATAGCTCTTGATCTGAGTAACTAGAGTTGTCTGTGGAAGTAATTTATGTACATCATTTGACTTTATTGGATTATCCTTGGTTAAATTCAGCATAATTTACTTCATTGTAAAAGTTTCAAATTATGTATGATGCTTAAATAAAAAAATGAATTTCCTCACATTTCTTGGCTCAGATCTCCCCTCAAGGGAGTTTCTTTGATACTGGTGAAGGGGCTCTTAATCCAAGGAATTGGACTGTCCTCCACTGTCTATTCCACTTCTTATTGCATCCCATTCCTTAGGTGCTGTATAAACCCAACAGGTTTATCACTTCCTCCTAAATATAATATTCAGCTCAGATTTAAGTACCATAGTGATGAGTTTTGTTATGACATCTGGCTTTATTAAGCTTAAAAGTTGACCACATGTTACACTATGAAGCTTTATATCACTGAATGTGAAAGTATCACTTGACACTGGTCAGCACTTAAGAGTGCAAACAATGGTTCCCTCAGGAAATTGGAAAGGGAATAAGCTTTATTTTTTGAAGAGTGCATAGATGTTACAATAACGGGTATAAAAGGTATGACATGGTTGGACTTTTAATATAACAGTTAATTACTGTATAAAAGTAAATTTAAGAATTTGTTGCACAACATTGTTTTTTGAGAAGTTGTACTAGACATGTAATGGTATGTAAATATTATTATTATTATTATTATTATTATTATCTTTATTTCTACAAGCACATGTACAAAATACTCAGGCCAAGCTGACATCAGTGACGTACCACTACATAGAAAGCCACTTGTTATGCAGAGGATTTTGGGCAGATTAGGTCAGTTTTGTCCTAGGATGCAATCCACACCAGTCGACTAACACCTAGGTACCCACTTAACTAGTGGGTGAACATGGACAACCGGTGTAAGGAAACACATCCAATGTTTCTACCCTTGCTGGGAATCGAACCTGGACCCTCAGCATGTGAAGCGAGAGCTTTTGCCACCAGGGCACAGGCCACTGTGGTGCAACATGATCTAGAACATTGAAAAATAAGCATTTATTAATCCAGCATAGCCTAACTAATAGCAGTTAGAAGCATATAAAACAAAATCAGTTGCTTGAATAAGCAAAATTACAGTTAAGATGCAAGAGAAACAAATGAATTCTCCTGCAGACAAGAATATAATAATTATCTTGTTGCTAAATTTGAGACTACAGTAATATAACTTAGAATATTAAATAAAGGTATGATTAATGAGCTTAACCTTCAAAGAGCCTATGATGATTTTATTTCGATTATTAACCTGGAGGTTTAGTAACCCTGGATAACCCAAGGGATCCAAGCAGTGTGACTTATTTCCATTGGGATCCTTTGATCCTCTTTTTAAGGCTGTGATTCACAACTATCAGCCAGTACACATATTTACATATTTTATTGCTAGGTGAACAGAGCCACAAGTGTAAGAAAACATGCCCATCATTTCCACTTATTTTGAGTAGTCCATTACACAGTATTTTATTTTTAAGTCATGTATAAGTCACTCCCTCGGGCCAGTGGCCACGTGGTTCTGAGCATCGAATACATGGTAGAGCTACAAGTGAAGAGGAAAGCTGAAAGGGCAGGACGAATGATGCCAAACTACAAGAGAGTACACAGGCTAATAGCTTATGTGAATTTCTTCATCCATCTCTCAGTGTGAAGGAATAGATATAGTACTGGTTCTGGATATCTAAAAAAAAAAATATGTATCAGTTATGCATAATGTTTAATAAACCTGTTATATATTAGCCAATATAATCAGGGTGTGGAAGTAGGATACACAAGGAATTAATTTCATTTTACTTCTACATACTAAAACATGTATACAGGAAACATATTTCACCCCTGTTACAATAATTTTTTAGTAAAATGATTTATATGTTGTACAGTATGTGATTTGAAAAAATGTATACAGAACTTTGTAAAAGATTATGATAACTTGCTATACATATAGTGATACATGTGTGTGACCATTAGCTGAAACATCCACTGACATTAATCAAAGATTTGCTAAAGATAAACAAGGATTTCTTAGTATGTGATAACAGTATTTACTTTTAGCCTTCCCTGTTCCATGCAGTGTTGTATAATAATAATAATCTTTATTTCTACAAGTACGTAATACAACTGTTACAGACCTAGCTGACACCACTGGCATACTATAGAGAGCCCCTGCTTATGCAGAGCATTTCAGGCAACTTAGGTTAATTTTGTTCTCCATGATGTGACCCACAACAGTCATCTAATGCCTAGGTACCTACTTACTGCTAGGTGTAAGGAAACATACCCAAAGTATCACCTGTGCTGGAATTGATTCCTGGACACCTCACTGTGTGAGATGAGGACAGTATCTATCAAGCCATGAGTGCTTGTTCTGGAAAATAATGTATATAGTGTAATAATTCAACTGTCCCACACACTGGCCTCGTGTACCATAATGTGTGCAACTAATATGGTAAAATTCCAACTTATTCATTTTTGCTCCTGTCTGAATAATAGACATCCTGCATATTTATTTTTTATCGAAATACTGTAGTTCATTACTAGCAAAAATTGTCCACAAGCATAACTGTGGTAGCTAAACTTGGAAAAGGGAATCCCATCTGCCATTTTCCTATGTTTGGTATTATTTCCTTCTGCACACTAACTTCTTAATTGTGAATAATTTGTGTTGCCAGTATTATGCACTTATATCATAAATATATTTTTATTTCCAGCTTGCTACTTCGTTTCACAGATGACACCTTCGACCCAGAGCAAAGTGCAACAATAGGTGTTGACTTTAAGGTTAAGACAATTTCAATAGATGGAAACACAACTAAATTAGCAATATGGGTATGTATTCACTTATACTTTGGAATAAAAAAATAATTTATAACTTATTTTCTTTCCCTCATTTTGTTCCTCCTGGGAGCAAGTTTAGGTGAGTAGGTTTCTTTCATTCTGTTAAGGTGCTCTTTCCTTAATCTTTTCTTTCACCAAACTGATAACTCAGATGCTTTCAGCAGGAAAAGCTTTTATTTTATAGCATTTCACCCACATTGGGACTTTATCAAGTACAAAGAAATTTACAAACAAAATATTACCTTATAAAGCATACAAATCTTTGAAGTTAGGTCAGGTTGTGGAGAAGTCAGTAATGACTTAAGGTTTGCTGTTAAAAGGAAAGGGTGAGGCTGTGATCCAGATGTCAGGTTGAAGTGTTTTATGCTTTTTATGTTATGTACAGTGTGTGCAGTGGGTTTTATTTATTTGTGCATTGCCCTATTTTCCCTATGCTGTTAATAGTTTTGGTGAGGTGGATAATGGCTGTTGGAAGTGATCTTGAACTATCACTTGTTGGCTTATGTCATTGTCTACCCTCTACCAAGTTACTCCTGCACTGTGTCACTGCTTTACCCTTTGACTGTTTTGGTCGTATATATATGTCTAACGCGCCACTGTTTCGGACGTATTAATACGCATAAATATAATGGGTTTTATTTGGTAGTATGGTAGCGGAGTGTAAATGATATACTTCTTCGGAGGCTTCTTACTTTATTGTTAAGTAGTGGGTACACAGGCTTGTGTTGTGCCCATGGCCCGGGCAGGGCCATCCCACGAGAGAGAGCTGGGAGTACTTGTGTCTTGCTGCTAGGCCGCTGTGTCAGTGAGCGGGAGGCATGGGCCGGCAGGCTGGCGTGCCTGCCTAGAGGCCTGGCTACAGAGGGCAGCACCTGAGTGGCGCGAAATATGAACTAAGCTGGCAGACAGCATGGGCTGTCTGTGCAGACAGTACAGGCTGTCTACATACGCTCGGCCACCTACCGCGCGTCGTCCCGACGCGACAATACTGGTGGTAAAAGAAACTCAGTCTCTCTCTCGTAGGAACAGGGCACAGAACACAAAATAAAAACATATATATACATATGGACATGGAAAAAAAACTTCCTACAGGGAGGGAAGAAAAAAACATGTGGTGTGTTAAACATCGTGGTCAAAGGCAATGAGCGTCGAAGGGCATCACTGCACGCCTTCCTGCGTCTGGACAGGTACTGCAACACGGGAGACATCGCTGCGGCTGAGCTGTGACGTAACAGGGTACGGTCTCCTCTGGTGAAGCAGTCATCGTAGGAGTCGCTGCAGGTTTTCACTCAACCTAGGGCATGACATGCTGGTGTCCTCGAGTGAGGCGTCGACAAAACTCTGCAACTGGGCAGGACTTCTGGCAAGCGACTCAGGAGGACACTTCTCGACTGGTACTGTCGCTGGGCTGTCACTGCCGGCGAGCGTGGAGCGAGTCGCTGCAGAGACGACTGGGCGAAACATCTGGGAGTCGTAACATCATACACCAGACTGCAGTGAGCGAGCTAGCAGTCAAAGTGACATCATCTTTGTGCAGGCTGCTCACTGAAGCTTGTGACACGAGGCTGACACAGCGCCTGCCGACAGGCCTGGCTGCGGCTTGACGAGTATCATCTCTCGACAGTTGGAGTTATAGCAGAGGTTAGCCTAAGCGTCCCCAGACTTGTTTCTCTACATATAACTGCACTCTGACGGTCTGGAGGTGAAGTGAAACAAATCTCGATGGGAATCGTAGCAGGTACGATTCTGCAGAACATCACGAGCGACGAGCATAAAGGCTTTCTGTACAAGAGGGCTCGTACGCTCAGGGCTGAGTAATCAGCTGTCAAACACACTGGTCACACGGGTGACTTAACACAGTGGTGCTACTCAGGTCTGGCTGGCCCAGACCTCACTGGACACACGGAAACTAAAAACACACCGCTGTACATACGGTACAACATGGCTTAACTAGCAAATGATGCTTTTCTGTGCACAAAACTGACACTAAGACATATACTAAAATGTGAGAACACTGACTAAGAGGAATTAATTAACACACGACATATATCTTCTCTCAATCTTCTCGACAATACTAAAATAATTACTAGAAACACTTGATGTGACATGTGATGTCAGGCGTGATGACGTCAGCAGACATCTCGAGGTGACGTCAGGCAGACATCTCGAGGTGACGTCAGCAGACATCTCGAGGTGACGTCAGCAGACATCTCGAGGTGACGTCAGCAGACATCTCGAGGTGACGTCAGCAGACATCTCGAGGTGATGTCAGGCAGACATCGTGACATCATGAAGTCGGGCAGCATCGTGGGTGACGTCAATGTGATGCGGGCAGCATACCACAGCATGTGGCCTGGGACATCTGGTAACTCACGTGGCTGGTAGATCCACGTGACATCGCCCACACCCACGTGACGTCGTGATCTACGTGCCATGCTGATCCACGTAGCTTCGAGTGGCCTCGGGCACTCGGATACACAGCTCTGGCAATGAATTCACATGGAAAACAGCAGAAAACACAGCAGAGGGAGTGGGCAGTGGTTAGTGGTGTATGGTAGACGGGTGAGCGTGAGTAGGGCAAGCATGGGCAAGGTGAGGAACAGCCACTTCCTCTCCTCTCCTCCCCCACCCACAAACACGTGGAGAAGCTCACACTGGACGCAGAAATCACCACAAAACTCACCTCTGGCTTGCTGAAACAGCTGTGCTGAGCTGAACAACAAGAGCAGCATACAAGAGACGCTGAACACGTGACTTGAGAAACAGCATGGGACGCTGTAGCGTGGGGTCACTTGGACGCCACTCACAATTCTCGAAGAAATTCGGCAAATTTCGGCTGGATCCTGCTTGTACCTGTGTCTGGGTGCTCAAACGTGCAGACACGATATCAGGATAACTTGTTGAGAGACGGATGCTTCTTGTGTAGGGTGATGAAGTGAAGATGACTTCATACCTCTCCTTCCTCTCTCCAGGCAAACACAACTGCTGCGAGCACCGCTGTCACCATTTATAATGGGTTTTATTTGGTAGTATGGTAGCGGAGTGTAAATGATATACTTCGGAGGCTTCTTACTTTATTGTTAAGTAGTGGGTACACAGGCTTGTGTTGTGCCCATGGCCCGGGCAGGGCCATCCCACGAGAGAGAGCTGGGAGTACTTGTGTCTTGCTGCTAGGCCGCTGTGTCAGTGAGCGGGAGGCATGGGCCGGCAGGCTGGCATGCCTGCCTAGAGGCCTGGCTACAGAGGGCAGCACCTGAGTGGCGCGAAATATGAACTAAGCTGGCAGACAGCGTGGGCTGTCTGTGCAGACAGTACAGGCTGTCTACATAAATTCTAGCGGCTTTAAATCAAGCAGGAGAAAGCTGGTAGGCCCACATGTCAGAGAATGGGTCTGTGTGGTCAGTGTGCACCACATAAAAAAAAATCCGGCAGCACACAGTGCATAATGAGAAAAAAAACTGACCATTTTTTTGGATTAAAATGCCGACTTTGAGGTGTATTTTCGTATAGTATTTATCGTTGTATTCTCGTTTTTGTGGTCTCACGTGATAAAATGGAAAACATATTGTAGAAATAGAGATGATTTTTGATCAGTTTCACGATGAAAACGACTTTGAAATTGAGCTCAAAGTAGGGGAAATGTTTGATTTTTACCAATGTTCAGGAGTAAGCAAATCACACCATACGTCCAATACATGTCAACTGGGGATTCTAATATTCTTTCACTAGTGCACTGATATTATTTATACCATTTTTACAATAATGCATTAGTCTGCATAACAGTAAATTTTGTATTTTTTGTATGAATAAAAAATCAAAATAGAAAGCAATAGTAATATAAGAGGGGCCAGAGACGTGACTAATGAACAGAGGATGTTATTTTAGTGCCAAGAATGTCAACATTAATTATTCTGAACCCTATTTTGAAATTGGCATTTTTTTTAATTTGCGTGAAATTGGCCAAATTGCCAATTTCTGACCACTTTATTGGGTAGTTCAAATCGGTAAATGGGTGGTTTCTTATACTCAACTGATAGAAAAAATGGAGTTCTAAAGAAATAGCTATGAGTTTGGTCAACTGGAGCAACAGAATTGGCCAAAAACAGGGCTCAAATTCGGTGAAATTGCCGATGCGTATATGTCGCCGAGACTGCTAACTTCGCGGGAGCGTAATTCCATGAGTTTTCGACCAAATTTCGTACTTTTGGTGTCATTACCATCGGGAAAAGATTCTCTATCATTTCATAAGAAAAAATAATTTTTTTTTTTTTCCAAAAATTTTGCGACATAGAATGACAGTTTCAGAAAGGGGCTTGCGACAGTCAAAGGGTTAACAAACATCCATAAAACATAATTTCAAATACTAGCTTCTAAAAGAACTCTCCTGCAGGTAGCTTTTCTGCTCATACATTGGCTTCCCATGCTTATGATTTTGTTAAGCAGCAAAAGCCCTGTGTATGCACCTGCTGCTAGCTTGATAGAGCACATAACTCCGTATTTTCATACCATCATTACAGTAGGCCCCCTGTTTATGATGTGAATGCATTCATGAAAGTTGTTTGTAAGTCAAGTGCCTGGAACTCAGAACCTATTTTACCACCGATACCTGTTTTTAACCTTCTTACTGTCACGACCCCAAAATTAAACATGTTGGTAGTGTTGCTATTTTATAAAACAAAATTTCCCAAAAAGAAGCCTATTTTTTTGGTGAATGTAATGAGACCACCACAAGAATTTTCCCATCGATACTTACTGAAATATGAAGGCATGAAGTTGAAGGTTGCTGACCCTCTGTGTATAACATCGACAACTGCCATGTGCTTTGTGTTTGTTTATTAAATTTTACACTTTCTCTGGGGTTTTCTAATTTTTTACATTTTCTAATAACTGTTGTGGTTCATGACATCAAAATCGTGCACAGGGTACATATGGCTAACCATTGTATACAACACAATACGCTAGCCAGACCTCTTAACCACAGACAACATGGT